GCAGGCTTTCTGTTTGAAAGTTGCTCGAGTGCGCGGCCTCAGGTCTAACGAGGCTGCGACGTACGTGAGGCGCTTTAGCACGGTATCGTGCACGGTAAGTCTGGGCCGCAAGCTTGGGGGGTAAACTGCTGTTCGCGCTCAAATGCAACCGTTAGTCGTTGGTATTGCCATATTTAACCGTTTCGTCTGTACTTATGCAGGGTCTCCACTTCCGCAGGCTTTCTGTTTGAAAGTTGCTCGAGTGCGCGGCCTCACGTCTAACGAGGCTGCGACGTACGTGAGGCGCCTTAGCACGGTATCGTGCACGGTAAGTCTGGGCCGCAAGCTTAGGTGGTAAATTGCTGTTCGCGCTCAAATGCAACCGTTGATCGTTGGAATCGGCATGTTGAACCGTTTCGTCTGTACTTATGCAGGGTCTCCACTTCCGCAGGCTTTCTGTTTGAAAGCTGCACGAGTGCGCGGCCTCAGGTCTAACGAGGCTGCGACGTACGTGAGGCGCCTTAGCACGGTATCGTGCACGGTAAGTCTGGGCCGCAAGCTTGGGGGGTAAATTGCTGTTAGCGCTCAAATGCAACCGTTAGTCGTTGGAATCGGCATGTTTAACCGTTTCGTCTGTACTTATGCAGGGTCTCCACTTCCGCAGGCTTTCTTTTTGAAAGTTGCTCGAGTGCGCGGCCTCAGGTCTAACGAGGCTGCGACGTGCGTGAGGCGCTTTAGCACGGTATCGTGCACGGTAAGTCTGGGCCGCAAGCTTGGGGGGTAAATTGCTGTTCACGCTCAAATGCAACCGTTAGTCGTTGGAATCGGCATGTTTAACCGTTTCGTCTGTACTTATGCAGGGTCTCCACTTCCGCAGGCTTTCTGTTTGAAAGTTGCTCGAGTGCGCGGCCTCAGGTCTAACGAGGCTGCGACGTACGTGAGGCGCCTTAGCACGGTATCGTGCACGGTAAGTCTGGGCCGCAAGCTTGGGGGGTAAATTGCTGTTCGCGCTCAAATGCAACCGTTGATCGTTGGTATTGCCATATTTAACCGTTTCGTCTGTACTTATGCAGGGTCTCCACTTCCGCAGGCTTTCTGTTTGAAAGTTGCTCGAGTGCGCGGCCTCAGGTCTAACGAGGCTGCGACGTACGTGAGGCGCCTTAGCACGGTATCGTGCACGGTAAGTCTGGGCCGCAAGCTTGGGGGGTAAACTGCTGTTCGCGCTCAAATGCAACCGTTGATCGTTGGAATCGGCATGTTGAACCGTTTCGTCTGTACTTATGCAGGGTCTCCACTTCCGCAGGCTTTCTGTTTGAAAGTTGCTCGAGTGCGCGGCCTCAGGTCTAACGAGGCTGCGACGTACGTGAGGCGCCTTAGCACGGTATCGTGCACGGTAAGTCTGGGCCGCAAGCTTGGGGGGTAAATTGCTGTTCACGCTCAAATGCAACCGTTAGTCGTTGGTATTGCCATATTTAACCGTTTCGTCTGTACTTATGCAGGGTCTCCACTTCCGCAGGCTTTCTGTTTGAAAGTTGCTCGAGTGCGCGGCCTCAGGTCTAACGAGGCTGCGACGTACGTGAGGCGCCTTAGCACGGTATCGTGCACGGTAAGTCTGGGCCGCAAGCTTGGGGGGTAAATTGCTGTTCGCGCTCAAATGCAACCGTTGATCGTTGGAATCGGCATGTTGAACCGTTTCGTCTGTACTTATGCAGGGTCTCCACTTCCGCAGGCTTTCTGTTTGAAAGTTGCTCGAGTGCGCGGCCTCAGGTCTAACGAGGCTGCGACGTGCGTGAGGCGCTTTAGCACGGTATCGTGCACGGTAAGTCTGGGCCGCAAGCTTGGGGGGTAAATTGCTGTTCACGCTCAAATGCAACCGTTAGTCGTTGGTATTGCCATATTTAACCGTTTCGTCTGTACTTATGCAGGGTCTCCACTTCCGCAGGCTTTCTGTTTGAAAGTTGCTCGAGTGCGCGGCCTCAGGTCTAACGAGGCTGCGACGTGCGTGAGGCGCTTTAGCACGGTATCGTGCACGGTAAGTCTGGGCCGCAAGCTTGGGGGGTAAATTGCTGTTCACGCTCAAATGCAACCGTTGAGTCGTTTGAATTGCCATATTTAACCGTTTCGTCTGTACTTATGCAGGGTCTCCACTTCCGCATTGTGGATTCTGTTTGAAAGTTGCTCGAGTATGCGGTCAGCGGCACAAGAGGACGCTTCATTATGGCAGGCTTGCCAACTGTTTGCTTTTGCCGTATATCTGAGTTTTGTGTTTCACATGGCTGTTGGCCATTTGAACGATACCCGCTTATTGGTCGGATAGGTTCATGACTTCATTGAGAAGGCGGGGATTTCCTTGCAGAGCATTTGCACAATGGGTCATATCGCGGGTAGGGAGGATTTTTGTTCGTGTGTGTGTGAGCAGCAAGTGGCGAGTTTGCTCCGCTTATGCAGACTTTGTCATTAGTCGCACCTCATGCATCAGGATGCTGCTGTCTTTGCTGCTCTAATTGCCGAGCCTCGTCAATCTTGTAACACAAGGACGAATTTCTGCACTCATCCCTTTGACTTGCATACTTTGCACTTCCGAAATACCTACCATACTGTTCGATGTTGTTGCTGCGATAGGGAAGCGTCCCTCCTTCGCCTTTCTCCGTTTCTAAGGGTTTGACTTTGAGGTTTCGAGATAAAGCGTGCCAGTCTGATGCCTCCATTCTCATCGACACTGGGAACATGACTTCAGCCCTTTTAAGTTACAAGTTCCACACAAGTGCGGGGGTGTCCATAAAAGCTGGGGGGCCCATGGACAGTAAATCGTCTTCGTGTGGTTACATGGAGGATCATCATCGTCCTCCCTCATCCGAATGAGCATGAAGCGCCTTAAAGCAACATGCCGGGCCTCCCAGACTTCCGAGCGGAACCTGGCTAGTGCCAGGGGTGGGGCCTCGGTCATAATCATGCGCTTGAAACGCGAGGTCACGCTCGTACTTTGCCCGTGTGCTATTGTACGCCGGGGATTCCACAAAGACATGCATTTCATCTTCAACCACCCCGCCGTCACAAAGCTTGCAGGTGCACGCTGTGCACTCACGGCAGTTAGGCCAGTTAATCTCTAACTCCCAACCGCCTAACCAGAAACGTATAAGCACTGGATGCAAACGTTGGAGCATGGCGGTTCCAGCGTGGGCCAGCCACTTATGCCGTGCGCCCCTAAGTGGGGGCGCCCCTATCCAGTTCAGATAGCGACATGCCTTGACGCCGGTACTTCCACTTTGGAAGGTGCATGGATTACCTAGGGTATCCGGGCACTCCCACCGGGCGTTGAGCCGCCTAGCGAACTCTTTTAAGTAAGCTTCCCACTGGCAACCTAACGGTGGCGTCATGCGCTATGAGGTCGTCACCACGCAGACCGGCTGGGGGCTCAGCAGATGGTGAGTGTACGGATCGCTGCGGGCCTGACGGAGCCGATGGGGTGAACGCTCCGCCGCCGGAAGGAATGGAAAGGGCGGCAGCGGCGGCGGGAGTTGTCAGCGGCGGCGGGGGATGCGGCGTTGCCGTACCGTGTTGGCGGCATTCCTTTGCTCCCCCGTCGCCCTCGCGATCCCCCT